AGTTACCAAGTTACCCAGTTACTGAGTTACCAAGTTACCCAGTTACTAAGTTACCAAGTTACTGAGTTACCAAGTTACTGAGTTACCAAGTTACTGAGTTACCAAGTGACCAATACCCAGTTGCCAAGCTACTAAGTTACCCATTTAACATAGTTACTGAGTTCCCAGGTTACCCAGACTATAAGTTACTGTTCAGTTACCAATTTACCAGGTTATTATACCTATTAGTCATGCCACGTATCATTTGACAGTTACAGATTCATTGAGATACCACTCAGACTGTGGCACAACTGTAGTTCCTGTAAGCATCATGTAGATCTAAACCTATGCATAAGTCACAATGTCTAGCTTCAAACCAGAGTAGTCAAAGTGACCAAAGTTACTGGTAACTACACTTTTTTATTTAGTTTGTTGGTGTCCTCATACCTTGCCATGTCTATCTAGTCAGGACCATCTGTAAAAGAAGTATATTAATTATAGTCTATATTTGTCACATACCATTGTTATTGTATCCAGTATCAGTATATGCTCCAACCACTAGTGTTTGATTAACTCCATTCTCATCAGGAATGATACACTTGTATAAACCTTCATATCCTGATAGTCCACCTCTTCTAGCTAGTGCAATCTGACCACTGAATCTCTTACTGTACACTGGTCTAGGAGCTAATGGATCAGTGAAGTTTCCATCAATTAAAGGTACTTCAGTTCCATTAGGATAATACCACACTCCAATATTAGTACTAGTGTTAGCACTCTGACACCACAAAGCATCAATGATACCATCATCACTCGTCATATGATAAATATCATAAAACTTGCTAGCATATAAGAGTAATCAGGTATCATCCTGTCCTCAATAGATAGATAAAGTTGAACACCTAATTCGATTTAATAATTACTAGATCTATATAAATTTATTTCCTTACCATTACTGGGTAGGGTGGAAGGTGCTTGTCCAGATACAGTCATCAGTTGAACCAGCAGGAGCAATAGAAAACAAGACCACTTTGAGTATGCCATTCCTTCTCTAACTTCATCTAGTTAGATTTGCTGCTGCAGTATGAGCTAATTGAATCATGTGACCAGGACCAGTTGTTTTGTGAGTTCAGTTGTTGACACAAAAGTATTCCTATACACTGCACTTAGTGCACCATGGTTGCAACAACCATCAGATCTACAGTAATAATTCTATCAGTATCTATGAATGAATATTGTTATAAGAGCCACGCCTATTCAATGAGCTACACCAACTTTAAAATTTGCAGGCAAAGTCCCTGTACTATAGTACAGAGGTATTTTGGCAAAATTGTATCAAAAACAAAAAAAGAGTATCCTCCATCACGTACTTATGTTGTGTAGAAAGTTTTTAACTCATTCCAATCAAGTTTAGATTTTTTACAAATTTATTAAGTTCCTACAAAATCGGATGGACAAAAGTCATACAGGGACTTTGGTCAAATTTCATCAGATTTTATCATTTAACATAACGTAGATGTAGTACTTTAACTAACATTATAAAAATTTCTAATTCTAACACAAACACATCTTGACTATCTACTGGTAACATGTCAAATACATTATAATAATGTATGTACATAAAAGATGAGTATATTGTTAAACCATTGGTATTTCATATTCAGCAGGTGGTGGAAGAGGAGTCTCATATTCATCATTAGTTGTATCATACACTGGCTCAACAGTTGATCTATTAATAATAACTTTAAATAATAATAATAATTGTATTTTATATAACTGACTGTGTTTGTTGTACTGTACTGTATGCTGGACTATCCTTCATTAGTATATCATCAGCAGTACTGTATGTGTGTGTGTATAGACATAATGTACTAGTCAATAGTGTAACTAACTTTGTTTTAAATTCAGTTGTGACTGTTGAATTGTGCTTCATTACAATGTTGCTATCTGATTTTCTATGAACCACAAATTATAAAATAATTGTAACAAATCTGTATATTTATATACCTCTTTTGATTGATATTAGCTACTTTTATACACATAACTAGTATTAATATAATAATTATAATTATAGCCAGTACTAATAATAGAACAATTGGACCAACAATCACTCCAATAATTTCTCCATTATTGACTAACACAGTAACAGTAGTTGTCACACCTACAAGTAGATCAAAATAAAACCTTTTATTACAATAGTTTGCTTTACCATGAACAGATGATGTAGCACTGCTACTCTTACTTTTACTTAATGACACTAATGATGGTGACATTGCTAATGCAAAGTAAACTGATGATAATGGCTTTTTGTATTATCTTACTTGATGATGATTGAGCAACAGTGCCTTGGACTGGTGAAGTACCTGTAACAATAGTAGAAGTTATTGAAATGCCTAAATCATCTAAATAATTGACAGTAAATGGTACATTTAAAATGTACCTGGTGGTATTGGTTGAGTCCTCTCTCCTTCATAAATGATTCCATTAACATTAAATGATATAGATATAGAGAACAAGTAGTTCAGATTAGGATCTAATCCTCCTATTAGACCTTCAGCAGTACCACCTGGGAATACTCTCATTCCTGTCTCTACTTGTCTCTTCTTCCTTGAGGAGCTACTGGTTGACTCATAATAGACAGTATAATGACTAGCTCCAGAAACGAAACTCCACTTAGCCCTCACTGCTGTAGAATTGAGCTTTGTTATAGAGAATGTTTGAATGACAGCTAAAAATTTTAAACATTATCATCATAGTATTCTCAGTAATTTCTTACGTATTTCAATAGTAGTGTATTCTCTATTAGTCCATTCTCCTGGTCCAATACTAGTATATGCTCTCACTCCAATAGTATAACTAGTATTAGGTATCAATCCTACTATACTGTAGTAAGTGTTAGTAGTGTTAGTTATATTGTATGGACCAGTACTGGTAGACTCTCTACTGGTAGACTCTCTATATCTTATCTCATATACTGTAATGATACCATTAGGTATTGTAGGAGGATTCCATACAAGAGTTAGTTCAGTTGGTGGCGGTGCATATATTAGATCAGTTATCATACCAGGAACTGTGTTAAGTTCATGTTTAAACTGATCAATATCTCATTGGCTTACTTGATTCAGCAGATAATTGTATTTCTTGTCTAGCTGGTCCATTCATATTATAATTATAAGGTATTATACTCACAGTATAGTTAGTATATGGTATTAATCCTGTGAGATTATACATTCTGTTGTCTCCTCCAGTGATATTAACAGTATAACTAGTGTTTGAAGTGATGTTAGTGTATGTGAGGTAGTATCCAGTGATTGGTCCATTCCTTCCATTGCAAGGTACTTCATCCCATGAGACAGTCATTGACACTGACTCTACTGATGAGAATATAATATCACCCACTGGTGCAGTAGGGGCTAGTGAGAAGGGACTAATAATAAATTCCAATAATTCTTCACTGACTTACCAGTTGAGAGTGTAGTAGCAAGATAATTAGTAATCAAATAAGTTATCTCAGCTCCATATACTCCAATAAAATCAAAGCCACATTGACTGTAAGGAGGTATACCAGTTGAAGTATGTAGTGATGAAACTGATGTTTTACTATTACTAGTGAATGATGATTCACATACTCTTCTACATCTCCTATTAATATTATAACTAATTGGTACTACAGCAGTTGGTGGACTCCATGTTAATGTAATGGCAGTGCTTGTAATTAGAGTTGTAAGGTTGTTCACAACTGGATTACCTGAAATACAAAATTAGAAATAATATCTACCAGTAACTTACTTAATGTTAACATAACTGAAGCATTACCACTAGGCAGAGAAGCTGATTTATAAGATACTACATAGAAAGTGTATGCAGTCCCATGAAACAATCCTGATGTTATATTGATTGTTGTATAACTAGTGTTGCCTACACTAACAGGAGTATTATTAGGCAGTTGATAGTAGACCTCATAACCAGTAGCTCCTGATACAGTAGACCAGGAGAGTCTTACATGAGCTAATCCAGTACTTAATCTTGTAGCCGTTAAACCAGTTGGAGTATCAGATACTGTATGAGTATGAGAATAAAATTATAAATAACTAATAAATAAAAAACCTGATAAACTCAAATATGTGTTACTACTTGTTGCCTGGACAATACCAATACGACCATTAGTACCATCAATTACTCTGGTATTAGATACAGTACACTGATAGTTACCAGCTTCTCTCAGTCTCATTGTTACTCTCACTCTTGTAACAGATCCTGATCCATTCACTATCACACGAGACAGTTCAGTAGATATTCCAGTCCCATTCACTGAACAACTGACAGTAGTAGGGGGACCATTAGAGACATTGAAACTGAGACTGAAGACTGGAGGAGTAGCTAATCTACTAGTGGAGAGGAGAGAGAACTGCATAGTAGGATCAGCATCAGGACCATCTGTAATAGAAGTACATTAATTATAGTCTATATTCATCACATACCATTGTTATTGTATCCACTATCAGTATATGCTCCAACCACTAGTGTTTGATTCACTCCATTCTCATCAGGAATGATACACTTGTATAAACCTTCATATCCTGATAGTCCAGCTCTTCTAGCTAGTGCGATTTGACCACTGAATCTCTTACTGAACAATGGTTCAAGAACTCCTGATGAATCATCAAAGGGTCCATCAAATAAAGGTACTTCAGTTCCATTAGGATAATACCACACTCCAATATTAGTAACATTGTTAGCACTCTGACACCACAAAGCATCATTGATATTGTTAACATCATCATTCTCATCAAGATTGTAAAACTGGCTAGCATATATCATAGAGTAATTAGGTATTATCCTGTCTTGATAAGGTAGATACAATTGAACACCTGAATATGAGCATAGATCTACAAATTACCAAAATTTATTTCTTACCATTACTGGGTAGGGTGGAAGGTGCTTGTCCAGATACAGTCATTACCAGTTGAACCAGCAAGAAGAATAGAAAACAAGACCTGCTTGAGAATGCCATTTTTCTTTTCAATGTAGATTTTATTGTTGAGCTAACAGAATCATGTGACCTTGTATTATCAGTTGTTGGCACAAAAGTGTATTTTACTATCTCAATTTAATAAAAATAATGAATATTGTTATAAAAGCCACGCCCAGTTAATGAGCTACGCCCTCTTTAAGATTTGCTTGGCATGAAGATGTTCTCATGTTGTGTAGAAAGTTTGAGATGATAGTTTTGATCAAGTGTTTAAATTTTTAAAGTTGTTCAAAAATTAGGTCAAAGTACACTTGTGTATACAAACATTTTGAAATGATAATTTTATATGCATTGTGGTTTAACACAAATTGCAAGAATAAAAACATTCCCAAAATTCATTCTCTGGAGAAAAAAGATGAGGCCTTGCTCTTTTAAAAATTCTAAAAGTTCAGTTTTGTATATCAACCATGTATTAAGCTCAAAACTTCCTTCTTTGCTTGTATAAAAAATTTTATTATTTCTCCATTTGCTTTTTCTCACTTCTTAAAACTATTGTCTTTCAACTAACATAAATATTTTTATAGCTATAACACAAACACACTATGCATTAATTTAAGTGGTAGCATTAAATATATGTTTATTTTCATCACTAATAGTGTACATGATAAAAGATGAGTGGGAACATTATTAAAAAGGTGGTACTTCGTATTCAGAAGTCTCAGGCCTGTTTGATGATCTAT